ATCATCAAGGGCAGCATCCAAAGCTTCCCTACTGCTTGCAATTTCTAGCCCAACGCCTGAAAGTGTGCCTGACTGCTGTTGCTCATCCAAACAAAGTTGCCCAGTAGCTTGAAGGGTGCTTGACCTTTCAATATTGCACAAAGCAAAATTTTTGGCGCAAAAATCAGCACCTCGAATGAGAATCGGATCAGCCCGTGCTCCCAGGCCACTGCCTAGCTCTCCCTGACAAACCTTGGACTGATTTTCAGCACCCCTTGATGGAAAAATGCTGCTGCCCAGCGTTCCAAAGACGCCCAGTGCAGCAGATCTGAAGCTGTCCGGGACAGCAGAAGCAGCAGCTAGGCTGCTGCCCAGCGCGCCTGGGTTGTCCAGGACAGGAGGAGCAGCGCCTAGGCAGCTGCCCAGGCCCCCAGCGCGCGCGGAGCAGCCGCCCAGGCCCCCAGCGCGCGCGCGCGCGCGCTGCCCAGCTGCGCGCCTGCGCTGCCCATCTCCCCTTCCAGCGCGCCTGCACTGCCCAGGCCCCCAGCGCGCGCAGAGCCGCTGTCCAGGCCCCCAGCGCGCGCAGAGCCGCTGTCCAGGCCCCCAGCGCGCGCAGAGCCACTGCCCAGGCCCCCAGCGCGCGCAGAGCCGCTGTCCAGGCCCCCAGCGCGTGCAGAGCCGCTGTCCAGGCCCCCAGCGCGCGCAGAGCCGCTGTCTAGGCCCCCAGCGAGCGCGCGCGCTGCCCAGCTGCGCTCCTGCGCTGCGCAGCCGCGCGCCTGCGCTGCTGTCCAGCCGTCTCCCAGCGCAGCCCAAGCCATTCCTCGCGCAGCCCATCTCCCCTTCGCTGTCCAGCTTTCCAATTTCAGATCCACAGCTTTCTTCAACCTCCACCAATCCCTCTTCAATCGACATTGTTCACTTGAGAAGCTCAACTAGCAAGGAAGAAATCACACTCTTGAAAGGATTCAAGGAGAACACACACTTTGGCTTCAACAAAATGGGTAGGACTTGAGTTCTCAAAATTTTCAAGAGGTGGATGCTCAACCTTAAAAATAAGTGAAGTGGTAATTTGAAGAAGAAGACTATATTTATAGTCTAGGGTTTTTCAAAAAGAGGAAAAAAGCCCAAATAGACTAATATGGGCCCTCTTCAAAATAAAATAGGCAAATAGAAAATTATGGGCCCTCTTCAAAACAAAGTGGCCAAAAAGAAAGTTATAAGCCATTTTTCAAAACAAAAAGGCCAAACAAGATATTATGTGCCTTCTTTAAAATAAAATGGAAGAAACTTAAAAAAAAAAAAAAAAATGTAATCAATGCCTCCTTCTCCAAGTCTCCTTGGACATGGGGCATTGGGGGGCAAATGATGGGTTAAGCCCAAGTAGTCCAATTTATGTATTAAAGCCCAACCCCGGTTGAGGAGCCTAACCTCATCGTGAATCCGCCAAAGGAGCCCAAGGTCGGTTAGACTTCTTGCTTAGCACGTCACCAAGAGGAAAGCACGGGAAGTTTATCTGCACCGCCAAAGGAGCCCAAGACCGGTTAGACTTCTTGCTTAGCACGTCACCAAGAGGAAAGCACGGGAAGTTTATCTGCACCGCCAAAGGAGCCCAAGGCCGGTTAGATTTCTTGCTTAGCACGTCACCAAGAGGAAAGCACGGGAAGTTTATCTGCACCGCCAAAGGAGCCCAAGGCCGGTTAGACTTCTTGCTTAGCACGTCACCAAGAGGAGAGCACGGGAAGTTTATCTGCACCACCGAAGGAAGAAAACGGTCCAATCATTGACCACGTTTCATGAAGAGCTCCCCAACCTCTTCCTTCCGTTGAGGATAAGTCGCGATCCCCACCAAAGATAATCTCTAAGCTGCGATAAAGAAGCCTTGAGGATATGTCATGATCTCCACAAGAATGATCTCTTAGCTATTATAAAATGACTCTAATCTGGGAGAGGAGGGACATGTTCCATCAGAGACTTACAGAAGACGAACCGACTACCGGAGATTACTATTTTGTCGTTGATTCTCCATTCTCCCTCTCAAAGCTTGTATCTCCATTCTCCATACCTTTGAATCAATAAAATACCCGGCGACTGAAGCCATTGAAGAGTGGACGTAAGTCGAATTGACCGAACCACTATAAATTGTGTATTTTTTAATTCTTTCGTTGATTTCATTGCATTTATTATCTATACTTGACAGGTGGTGTGCAAAATCATTTTTGTGCATCATCAGAAACAAGCATGAGAAACACACTATATAGACTAAACTAAGCATTATAGAGGACCAGAGGAGTTTTTAGGAGTAAAGGGTATTTTCAATACACCAACTATATGGTAAAAAATTCAATGTTTTCTATTTTGGAAAATATGAATGAATCAGCTCAATTCGATATGACTAAGATAGTTTAGTAATGTTGAACTCCACTAGATGGAATCTTGATTTGGTAATGAGTTGTCAACAGATCTCGGATTTGGGAAGGATTACATAAATAATGTTTCATAAGTCCACAAAACGTGAGAAAAAGAGTGACTACATTACATGATATTTTTTTAATCCGACATCAATTCACTTATTATTCGTCGGTAACGTCTTAGACTAATACATCCCAAAAAAAAAAAGAAACATCTCGCACCAATACACCAATTATTCTACATACAATATAAATACAACATTGAAGCACAAAGTAGTTATTTATTTTTAGTAAGCCTAGATCCAATTGGGCATCTTAAAGTCTTAGATTGAGACAAGCCGGTGTCCTACTACGACGTTCCTCTCAATCTTTCTCATTACAATAAGATTCACGTATCTATATTTTCTTTCAATAAACAACAATTGACAGCTACTTGCAAAATTTTAACTCAAAACCAAAAAAGCTTCAACTATTTCATGATAATAAACACTTGGGCACATTCCGTAAAAAGATGATCTTAAAATTAAGTACTCATCAACAAAGTTAGTATCTTAGAATGTTCATTACATAAATGTTGATGATAAAACTTTTCATCCTATTGAATGTCGTGTTGATGTCATTAATACTTAAACTTTCATGCTTTCTATACGGGTAGGTATTGGTGAAACTTACAAAATAAGAAAGAAGGTCTATGTGAATCATGTTGTTTAACCCATTAATTACTTAATTGTTTTTGATGAATTTATTACTAAAAAACACTTTAATGACAAGTAATCAAAGAGAGTTCTTAGTTAAAGGAATAGTTTTAGACAACTAATTCAGTTATTTTATTTCTATGAAGTAATAAACACATGAGTTTTTAACACTAATTGAAAGATTCTCCCGTGGTTAAAAAACATTAAAAGATTAAACAACTATGAACCAATAGTGATTCTCTTTTCCTCGTCTTCTTAAGGTTAGATTTGTTGTCTTATATTTAAAAAATTGCTGGTTTAAATAATTCTTGTGTTCAATACACATGTATGTCCATATACATATTTCTTCAATACTTACAGTTATTTGGAAAAATTCTTGAAGTTTTATTAATTACTAAGTGATAGGATGGTTAATTACATTTCATGAAAGGATATTAATTCATCGAAAAATACTCATTATTAACATAATTCACTTATTGGGTATCATGACTGAAATTATTTTTAATATGTTTTTTTAAAATTTTTTTCTTAACACTTACTATGAATTCAACCGAAGTTTATTATATATGTAAATAAATTTATTTATTATAGTAATTGTCAAGCAAGTCATTGAAGTTTACATTCTCTAGCTTCACTCTCAAAAGTCTTTTTTTCTTTTCAGGTAAGTCGCCCTCAAAAAAGTTAACCAAGATTATCTTATCTGATCGAATCAACGCAAAAATTAATTGAGATGTGTGTCCGATATCCAATAAATGCAATTTCCATGTCTTTATTAACAATAGCCAATAGTAATTTCACTTCGTGGTCTATTTGTATTGTTTTTGTACGATTTATGTGCTATATATAGTGTAAGAGGAAAGAGACACAAACCCCACTGTTCTTCCTCGGTCCTATGTCAATTGGGTGTGTTGTCTTTGGCGCACACACATTTTTCTCTCTGTTCTATGTTCTCATTCTCAACGTGAAGTCAGATTCGACACACTACACATTCGCAATGCACTCTCCGTTTGATTCATAAGCATAGAAGAATTTCTTCAAAACAGCAACTGGACTTCTAAAGCGCCAAAAAGCCTTCACACCACCAAAACGAAGAGAGACTGCCAGTGCTCTCTCTCCTCCGTACGAATTGGTTCAGGAGATCCAAGACCCGTTTCTTTTTGGTCAAAAAAGGTGGTAACCCATTTCTTCTCTCTGCGTATTTCCATGTTGGAGCTTGAAATCTTCTACTTTTGGCGGCCCGACATGTATGCTTTGGAATTTTTATTTGGTGAATGAATACTTTGGGTTTTACTTGATTTACTTAGAGATTTGGTTGCTGGATACTTGTTGATGGCCTCTTTAAGATTGCTTAGATTTGGCTTTGTCATACTTGTTATAAAGTGACATTTTTTATTTGCGTTTCAAGAGGTTCCTTTTTCGCATGTGCAAATAAGAAGAAAGCTGGGAAAAATTATGTTACTGCTGGGTTAGAGGTGGAATAGAGAACTTTGGATATGATGAGAATGCCTCGATGATGAATTGGAATTGAAAAGGTTTGTATTTGTAATTGGGTTTAAGCTAGTTGATACAGGAGAGGCAGTTTAATTGTTTCATTGTTTTGGCATTTGTGTTGGTTTGATTTGCTCCTGATTTACTGCTGTTGTGGATGTTTTTTAAGAGGCAATAACTTTATATGGAATTGAACTGGCTAATTTATCATTTGGGTTTTATACAAATTTCTTGCAGCTTTTCATTAGATCACACTAGTAAGGATTGCTTATGTGCCCCAATAGTCTTGTTCACATTCTTTAAATTGGATGGAATATGAGAAGATAGTTTTGAATATCATTTGTGGTGAATGTGATATCTGGTAATAATTTTAGACTTAGAGAAGACAACTTGCTCGGGTTTAGTTTTAATGGCTTCAATTAGAAGAACGATGTCTCCAGTGCCTCGACCTGGGACTTTTCTGAATGGGGAAGGCTGTTCAGCTCCTTCTCCCTTGTCCAAGTCTTCTTCCTTCAATCAGAACTATTCCTTAAGGGGAGATTTGGTGTGTTCTTTTGGCTCATTGGCCTATGCATGGTACAGAGCTCAAGCTTTTGCTCTTGGTATTTTCTCAAAACGATCTTCTCAGCCCTTGGAAAGGCCAAAATTTAAGGGGCAATTTTGGAGGAGGGCTCTTTTCCATTTTTCCATATTTTTCTTGGTTGGGGTTCTTGTTGGACTTGCCCCATTTGTTTCATTGGATTTACCCATCAATCTTGTGACCAAACACCAAGTCATCTCCTTTGAGGTTTTTCCTCCTGTTGGAAACGTTCGCTTTTATGATGTTGTGCCCAGAAATATGACACCTTTAGTGGACAGATCGGCCACTAATGATAGTGCTACATTAGAGCCACATGTGGTGAAAGGGGAACCAAGAAGAGGGATTTTGAATGACACTCTTCTTAACCAATCACTCATTAAAAATTCTACTATGGTGTTTCATAAACTTTTGATCATTGTGACCCCAACACATGCTCGGCCATTTCAAGCCTATTATCTGAATCGTTTGGCATACACATTGAAATTGGTCCCTCCTCCTTTGTTGTGGATAGTTGTGGAGATGACATCTCAGTCCATGGAAACAGCTGACATATTGAGAAGAACAGGTGTCATTCACAGGCATCTTGTATGCAGTAAGAACTTAACGGAAGTGAAAGATAGAGGTGTGCATCAAAGAAATGTGGCTCTGTCGCACATTGAAAAGCACCGCCTTGATGGAATCATTTACTTTGCAGATGATGATAATATTTATTCTGCTGATCTCTTTGAACAGATAAGGCAGATCAGGTACCCTAAATTAATTGCTTCATACCTTACATAGATTGTTATAGTATCAATGAAATTATTGTTGTTGAATCTCTTTCTCTTTAATGAATTTTGAAATGAAATCTTAATTCATTTAGTGTGGTACTTCGCTTCCTAAATTAATCGCGTAATAACCAACATGCATTTTTGTAGTCTCTATTATCTTTTGGTAGTGAAATCTGTATTTCTCCTTCAATAGATTGTGAATTAAAATCTTAATTCCAACACTGTGATGCAATGAGGCATGATGAACATGATAGCAACAGCACATGAAGTGGGTGATTCTTCTTCTTTTTTTTTTTTGTTCAGATTGTGAAAAACAGGAACATGTGACATCAGGCAATGGATCACCAATTTTTTTTTTTTTTGGCTTTTGTTGTGCTTTTAGGCTATTAGCACTAAAATGATCCTTATTTGGCCTTTTGACGTGATATCAGTGCATGTTACGGTTTATATTTTGAATTTAGTGAGGCGATTTTAGTGCTTTTCTTACCTGTTATACTGTTATAGGATGACTATAGGTTCAGCCATGACTACATCTTGAGCTTGGATTTATGACATGGAAAATAGTCGGAATAATTAATTTCACGTGGAATATAATTTGGAGTTGCTTTTTCAAATCATGCATTACCATCAATTTAGAAACTTTATCATATGCCTCAAGCTTCCTGAAGGTAGCGGCACAAGCCTTTAAGAGAGTGTAAGGGGTGCTGGTTACTTTATTATTTTAGCAAAAGTTCCTACGGCTTGAGCCAGCTTTGCGCCTTGACCTGGATTACATTCAATATCATGTATCCATGTTCCTATACATATATCGGCTAATGGTATGCAATTTCCTATTTGAGAATTTATATCAAATATCTCGTATCCATAAGCAGGGGGGCATGGGGAAGAAGCAGTCAGCTAGCTAGCTGACTGCTCCTGACCACTCAGCTGCTTTTCTTCGTTGTGTGAACAAGGTCTTAGTATGTATGGGCATTCTGCGCAGGTCGCAATAAGTCGTTGGTCGAAGGTTTAGACCAATTGCAATTCATCACCATCTTGCCTGCTTCCAATTGAAGACTGGCTATTAAATAAGTGTTGACCTAAGCCCTCGGACCTTACATCCTCGTATGACTCTTCCTAAGAACTTGAAGCCCCCTCTCTTTAAAAAAATGCATTTACAAGACAAAAAAGGCTTTTTCAAAAAGCCTTCACCCTTCTGTTTTTCCATGATAATGACAACTTTTAAAAAGAGTATCTAAGCCAATCTGGAAGCTTTGATATGCTTATATAAGTGTTTTAATGAATAGGGTCAATTTCACACAGCTCCCTGACATTAGGTCAAATGACACGACAATCCTCTGTAATACAATGGAGACCCCTTTACATTTGTAGATCATTTCATAGAGACCCCCTGACGTTTTGTCTCCAAAATGTCTTCCTGGCCCACTAAATGCTTAATTCTTTTTAGGTTAGACTACCTGCTCTACCTTCATGTGTTGTCTCCATTGCAGTTTGTGGACTTGTAGCTCCCTATTACTGTTTTAATTGCTGTTGACTGATTACATTCATTAGAATGACACGTATAAATGATTTGTAGCCTAAAGTCTTTGATTGTCTTAGACTGTCTTGCTCATGTCTTTTGTTGATTTGTTTATACTTGAATATATACAGAAACACCCAGAAGAGAAAGGATTAAAGTCTTTTTACGATTTTCCAGAATTTCTGTTTAGATTTTTTATGTCAATACCTATAGAAGAATGATATGGCCCATGCTGTGATATATCTTGCATATATCTTTTCTGTGTTTAGTGCAACTGTAATCCCTTGAAATGCCTGCTTAACCCATATATGTAATTCCTTCTCTCACAATCTTTTTAATTCTTCCAGCAGGGCATTTTGGGTTTTTTTCTCACCACTCTTTGCTTTTGGAGTTATATAATTGGCTGATTAGGTTTTCAATAAGATAATGGATTATCCCTTTGTTCCCTCTTGTTCTTGCCATCCACATGAGCTTTTCTTCACAGCCAACTTTCTGGACTCGCAGGCGGTTTGGGGCATGGACAGTGGCCACACTGCTGGAGAGCCAAAGGAAAGCTAATTTTGACGGTCCAATTTGTAATGGTTCTCAGGTTGTTGGATGGCACACAGATGATGAGACGAGAAGATTTCAGAGATTTTATGCTGAAATGTCAGGGTTTGCATTCGATAGTGCTATACTTTGGGATCCAAAGAGATGGCATCGACCTACTATGGAGCTTATTAGGCAGCTTGATACAGTCAAGACGGGCCTCCAAGTTAGTCTTCTCTTCCTCTCTTATAGTCTTGACATTGATGAAACTGTAATAGTGAAACTATCATTTTCTCTGAAAGTTAAAGTTACTGGAGAGGGTGCAACTAAATATTGATATACTTCACCACGCACCTTCACGTGCGGGCTGGGTTTTGGACAAAACGCGTGCAAGTCTTATTGTTATCAGCTTGACAGTGATATTTGAATGGAGGACTTCTTGTTCTCATCTCATGTTAAACTGCCATCTCATCTAAAAGTTTCGAGAGGTTGTAAAATACATGTTCATACATTCGTACACAAATTATGAAATGTGCGAATGCTTCTATCTTTTTAATCACTACAGCTCGGCAGTTAATTATTTTTTATGCTGAAGTGAGACATGCTCCTTCCATATAACACAACTGGAGCTAATCAGGAGCTTCCCCATCTGCACCCCACCTAAAATGAAGAAAAAATAAATAAATAATAACAAAAAGTAAAAACTTAAATGAGGATAAAAGGTGTTAAGGAACTTTGTAACTAAATCTGTAATTAATCCTTAAGGCCATGGTTTCTTGCAGTAGTAAATGAGTCACTTTGTGCAAATATTTAAAAATGTTAGGACTTCTCCCATGACCCTTCATTAATTGAGACCAAATTGGGTAATGCGGCTTTTTTTTATGGATAACCTTACTAATTTTCATTTCAGGTTAGCACATTTATTGAACAAGTTGTAGAGGATGAGAGTCAAATGGAAGGCTTTCCACAAGACTGTTCAAGGATCATGGTTTGGCGTCTTCATGTTGAATCAAAACATTACTATCCTCGCGAATGGCTCATGAAGAATAATCTAGATGCCATTGCTCCACTTGCATGAAAGGTTTTATGGGACTGACAATAGCAATGGGACAGAGGGAAGGTTAGTGTCTTTTAGAATCTGAATTGCTTAGTTGTGGTTTTCCATAACTGCTTTGTTTTGTTTATGCTTGTTCTGTTCAATGTTTGACTCGCTTCTCCTTGTTTTATTAAGCTGTGAAACGGTTTTATCTGAGTGCAAATACTCATTTATGGGTTCTTTGGATGCCACATGAAATTGAACAATCCCATTCTTATTGAAGATACAACTCAATTTCTGTTTATCAGACTTGAAGGAATGAGGGAACAGAAATGAGAATGATATAATTAATTATTTTCAAGTGACTATGATATGATATTTTTAAAAAATACTGTTGTTTCTGTGTGTGTGTGTGTGTGTTTCTAATCCATTCATCACACAAAATACATATTCAAGCTGATTCCTGCTTAAAGGCTATCACCAACTTCTAAAATAACCTCAATGAGACTTTTTCTTCTGAGCTACATGTAAGGGTTGCTGGATAGCTGCCTCTTCATGTTGATGGCCATGATATGCATTGCTCTGTTTACACGGTATAGAGAACCATTCCAAGTTCCAAGGTAAGATATAGATACTAACTTCCATGTATCAACTAAGCACCCTCTTACCTCCTAATAATTTCATATTCTTTATTTACAGAGCAATTCTCTTTCCTATATGCCTGTTATCAATATATCGTGTTAATGCCCCTCCCTTCTCCACTGATTATTCATATGGTCTTCCTGTGTTAAGATGGTTGTCTAATATATAGGTGTTTTCCTTCTGTTTTTTTTGCAGTGAAAATTGGTCAAGAACCATAAGTATCTGCTATTGTCTACTCGCCTCAGTTTCAGGTGATGCTTGCTAGGATGCTCGTGCAATATGTGTTGGCTGGTAGTAGGATGCACAGGCACTGTTTGTGTTTGCGGGTTGTATATTCATCCATTTCATAGCAGCATGAAATCAGCTCGAAGTTTTTTTTTGTCTAATTTATTACCCTTTTTCCTGAGGCTAGACATTATCCTTGTATAATTGTCGAATTCTTATTCTTCTCGTGTCTGCTGCTATTTGCAAAGAGGCAAATTTTAACCAAATGGTTCAAGTGGATTGATGCATTTGCTTTTCCTCGTGATCTACAGTTTTTTTTTTGGACCTGTTGGCATGTATTTTGCATTTGTGCAGTGACAAGAATTCTATGTTCCAGACATGAATTGCTTGCATTGATATGTTACGATGAATTTATGTATTTTCTATTAATGTTTAACAAAGTTTGAATGAGTTTGAGCTATACATTCTGTGGTCAAGCCAAAAAAAGGAGTCACAAAACCTTTGATCCTCTCAGATAACTGTATGTTCCAAGCATTGTATTCGGCCTGCTATGCTTACCACTGCCCATTACCATGTCCTCCCTTTGGCCTGTTTATATTGTGGGTCAATCTTTTAGAAGGGTACTTTGATGTTGTTGAATTCCTTGGGTAAATCGTTTTTTAAGAAAAATTGATAAGCTTAATGCGATAGCAGAAACTAAGTTGGTAATAATATTACGCCCTTATAGACCTTGAACAAGCCATAATCGAACCTTTTTTTATCCTCCAAATACAATAACTTACCGCATAAATTTAGGAATCTCAAATTGAGACATTAAATTTGAAATTGAAAGAGAAAAACACTACTTCTAGGCCCTGTTTGGTACCCGTGTTTGTTTCCAGTTTTTCGTTTTTGTAAAAATCAAAAACATAAATGCGTTTGGTAAAAATATAATAAAGGGAATATGGTAAAATGGTAATGAGGATTCAACTCATCATGCAATGATAATCATGTAGTTGTCTGTATTCATACATTGAGCTACTCTTTCTCAGCAGTCTTCAATATCTCATTAAAGGATCAGTAGTTGAGCCAGTGTGGTGATACATTACTATTGCTCATTGTGGTAATTTGGTTGCAACATCTAGTAGATCAAATAACATTCACACTTCCAGCTTTACATTAGTACAGCAAGAAGATCATGGGTGATCCAAAGCTGTTGTGTTCTGTTAATGCCTGTTATCTCTCAAATAGCATGAGAAAAAGTTAGAGTGGGGGGTTTAACACATTACATGATATTGTCATATGGTGTAAATGGGGGCGTATCTGAAGCATGTAAGACTAATAATCGAGTTGAGTTATTCGGGTTCGACTCGTTTTCTAAATGAATCGAACTTAAATAATTTGTTAGGCTCGTTTAGAAATACGAGCCTAAAAAAGTTCGGCTCAGTTTGTAAAACTCGGTTTTTTTATATGTAAAATAGTTGAGCTGCTTGGGCTCGGTTTGTTTTCTAAATGAATTGAATATTGAATAATTTTTTAAGCAAATTTTAAAAAATGAGCTCAACAAACTCGACTCAAATTCGCAAAGTTCGATTCGAATATGAGTCCTAAAAATAGGTGAAACCAAGGGAGTTTGTTAAGGAGGGCTGTGTGTACAATGAATCCTAAATCTTCTATTAATGCATCGAATTCTAAAAAATTATGAAATTCACACCATACTTTAAAATTTTCAAATACATCCACAAGACTTTTCTTGGTTGGAATTCTTTTAATTCTTTTTTAGTTTGCAGAAAGTAATATACAAAGATGAAAAATAATTTGACACAGTGGCACCCAAAAGTAATATAGTGATTCTGAGGAGTACCCTTGAACCTGAGGGAGCTTAGTTTGTCTCTAATTGTATGCTTGATGATGGATGACAGTGTTGAGCTATCATAAAAATTATTCTTGCACACTACTGTTCCTTTCCTCCATATCGCATATACAGTAACAGATGAGCTTAATTTCATTTTGACTGTTGTTGCCAATGCCTTTTCTTTCCACTGTGAACTGCCCAATGAATAAACTCACTGCATGGTCTAGGTTGCCAATGCTGTTGGTTCATTTCAAGTACTTGTTTCCAGAGTCTGCTTGAGTAATTACATTCAAAGAAGAGATGGTAGTGGGATTCCTCTACTGTTCTGCAAAGTATACATTGTGTTCCTAAGTAGTTTTGCATTCTGTCCTTGGTGCTCAACTTCAACTTGATGGCCAACCAGAGTATGAAAGTCATTATAGGAATTAGTGGACTATACCATACCAGCTTCTTTCGGTGAACAACAGGGCTGCAGTTCTAACATGCTTCCATGCCGAGGCTGTGCTGAAATTCCCATTAGTTGTTAAAGACCATTTGACATAATCATCCCTCTGTCCATTTCTATGCAATGTATGATTAAGGGTCTTATGACATCTCTGTGTTTCAGGTGGTGAATCAATTTTCACCAATATTAAATCATTTATAAATAGAGTAATATTATTGTGACAGTGACATGATTAAATAATATTATTGTGTTTGTTGAATTTTTTTATTGCGAGTCCATCACTTGATAGTTGATATATCATCATATCAGTAAAGAACAATGCTATTGAGAGCTAATTTATTAACTTAATTTGCTGACTTAATTCACTATAGTCATTGAATTAATTGTAAATCCCATCAAACATTGAAACTTAATCCTGGTTATAATGAATTCACATCATTAGATCAACAGATTATGTCAGATTTTTAGATCCCAAAAACATTAATCATCAAGGACCTAACAAATTGACATAATTTGTTGATATAATAATATATCAAGTTATGGTGTCTCAATAAAGAAGTTTAAGGGTTACAGTCACAATAATACTATTGAACTATGTTATTATCACATCATTAGGTTAATAAATTTGATTAATTTTTTAAATCTCTATAGTATTACTCTAATAAATTTTATCAATTTTTAAAAGCAATGCTATTGTAATCTAATTTATTAACATAGTTTACTATGACATTTGAATTGACTGTGAAACCCATCAAACATTGAAATTTAGTATTAATCCAATAATTTTGCTAAAACTACATTATTATATAAACAAATTAGACATCATGCGATAAAAGGGAATTCAAAGGTCTAGACATGGTTGAACATCCCGCCATACATTTTCTTTCAATTTTTGTCTGTGACAGGGTTTGGTGGGAATCATCTTATATTACATGAAACTCATTGAAATACATAATTACTTATCTATTATTGAGTAAAATTAAAGAAAAGTATACTCGAGTACGATATATAGAAATATAGCTCCTTGGCTATCTATACCTATATGGAATGTGCCATGGCCTAATGAAAAGGGTGATTACCCTGAAGCTTCTTCTCCACCCATGAAGGAGACAACACAGGACTCATCTCATACTCCATAATCTTCATCTTTGAATCTCTGCAATTCGTACCATCCAAACACAAACTCTTCTCATCAGGCAAAACCTTAACTCTCCAAACCTTAAAAGTCTGATCCAACCCAACACTATACACAATAAACCCCATCACCACTTTCTCTATCTCCAGCGAAGCAGCCAAACACTTCACTGGCCCTCTATGGGCATCAAGCACAGCAAGACACTCATGAAAACAGCTTCCTTCCTCTCTCCTCCAAACCCTAATGGTGGTGTCCTCTGACCCACTGAATAACAGCTTTTCTATTGTAACTAAGCACAGGACAGAGAATCTATGTCCCTGTAAAAAACCGCCGTGGTTGAACCTTCCAGACATTTTTTCCTTTTCCCAGAAGTTTATAAACCCGTCTGAAGATCCAGAGTAGAGGAAGCAAGACCTAAGTGATGAGCTCAAAGCCATGGCGTTGACAGGTGAGGGTTGAAACTTTAGGGTCATGGTTAGGGTATGTGAGTTTTGTCCATAGACTCTCCTCCAAATCTTCACTGACCCATCAGAGGAGCAAGTGAAAACACACCCATCTTCTTGATTCACAACAATGGCGTTCACATTATCTTCATGAGCAAGAAAAGAGTCTACACATTTGCCATCACTAATCCGCCATGCCTTCACTGTTTTGTCCCATGACCCAGTATACAAAAGCCCTTCTGCATGGTAATAAGCCATGCATGAGACACAAGCCTTGTGTTGTTGACTATTTGCCCTAGAAGCCATGAGAAATGATCTTTTTCTCGGTAGGGTTGTAACCTTTTTGGCTCGAAAGTTCTCAGAAGCTGTGACATTCCACACTCGGACTTTGAAGTCTCTATGTGAAGAGAAGAGCATGTTTCCATAAGCTAAAATGGCTCGGACGTCGCCGATACTTGCCCGGAGACAACCTCGTTCTACGCAGTCCGGCTGCCGCCAAGCACGAATCCGGCTGCTCTCCGACCCAGTAAAGACTATTCCACGGGAAAGGGTGATGGAGTAGATGGTGCCGTCTTGACGGTGGAGTGAGGCGATGCAGTGGTAGAGGAGGGAGGGTGATGGGGTTTGGAGAGGAGAGAGAGTCCATGGAGAGTCTGGGCATGGCGGTGGTATTATTGAATCCATGGTGGCGGATGGAGTGGAGGGCCGTGAAGGGCTGAGGTGAATGTCTTGATCGGATATTTGTTGATGGGGTTTGAAGGGGAGATGAGTTGGAGATTGTATTGCTCTCTTCTCTTCATCTATGAAGCTGCAAAGAGTTCTCTTGCTGTAGTATTCCATGGAGAGAGAGAGAGAGTAGCTAGAGCGAGGAGGAGGGAGATAGATATAGATACAGAATCACAGATCCAATGATATTGTGTGGGTTTGAATTAAATATATAGGTTTATTGTGGTGGTTGAATTTACCGATAATATTCAGACTTAATTTATTGATACCGTACATTGTAACATTTAAATTGATTATAATCTCATTAATATTAAAATTTGATATTAATTTAATAAATTTTATAAAATCATATTATTATGTCAATAAATTAAATTAAATTTTTAAATTTACATATTATATTAAAATTTTAAATTTAAAAAATATTACTCTTATTGAAAATATAGACGTGGAGTGGTTTGACGCTATTGAAGTGACAAGTCATCAACATATAAGGATATGGACATATATAAGTTTCTTTTTTTTTCATATACCATCTCTGATGAAACCCAAACTCTCGTTTAAATTTAAATAAAAAAAAAAGATAAAAATGTTGATTTAGTATAGAACTTTTCAATGAAAAAATTCAAATTTAAAATAAAAAAAATTCAAATTTAAATAAATATAAATCTAATTTAAAAAAAGATAAAATATGACAATTGAATATTTAAAAAAGAGTATAATCTCACAATTAAAGATTTGAGTTTTAAAAAAAAGTCTCTATTGATTTGAATTTTAAAAAGATTTTTTCTTTATTTAGCATGGATATGAGTCTAATATTAGAGCCCTTCAAAAAAAAAAAGTCTAATATTGGAGAAGTATTTTAAATTATTTTTACCCAAATTTAACTTTTTTGATATATCTATACTACTAATAAAAGAGGCTTAAGTGAAAACTTTTGATTTCCTTACTTATCTTTTAATAATTTTATAATATCTATTTTATCCTTTTTAAAGTGGCTTAAGAGAATTTTTTTGATTTTCTTATTTATTTTTCATAAATTCTATAATGTCCACTTTATCCTTTTTTTATGAATATTTTTTTATTAGTTGAATTAATTCAACTAATAAATTCATTGTTTGATTTTCGATTATCTTCTTTTCAAACAATATAAATTCGATTTGAAAAATGTGATCCGAATACAATTCAATTGTCCAATGAACTTTATTTGTCACGGCGCATAAATGAATCCGTTAAAACAGATATCAGTTATGATCCGAATAAGTTGATTATAGACGATTCTAACATTTCACACATAGATTTCTCCTCAATTTTATTAAATAATCACCAAATTACATCATATATTTATCGGTACGTACAGTATATCTAAATTTTCTAAAACACAAATATTTGAATAGATGTAATAATTTATATATTACTTTCAAATGTCAATACTTGTCAAAAAATTTAATTGATAATATTATACTTAAAAAGATAAAAAAATAATAATGACCTATTGTAATAACTTCTTATTAGTCTAAGAAAACATTAGTCATCAAATTATTAATCACATACTGAAGTTAATATTACAGTTTTAAATGCAATGCAATTTAATTTTTTTTTTTGAACCTTGTACAGTTTAGTTTAAACAATCTAAAACACGAGAAAAATCTTGAATGTAATAATTATCCCATATCAATAATGTCACTTTGTATAATCGTCCACTAACAAGGGAATAAGAGGACAAGAAAGCCCCATAAAATTAAATAGTTATCATGTAATATATAACCATCTCTATATAAAAAAAAATTGGTCCAATTGATCAATTTTTTTTTCAATAAAAAGTCAAAATAATTGGCGTGCAACGCACGCGTGCACTAATTAGTATTAATAAAAAGACATACAAGTAATTAGACTGCACCTAAACATTTCAAAAGGAGCAATGTTATTGGGATCTAATTTACTGACCTAATTCACTATGACCTTTGAATTAACTGTAGGATTTATTAAACATTGAAACTTGATGTTGATCCAGTGACTTTATTGAATCCACGTTAATATATCAACAAAATAGATCAAATATTTAGGTTCAAATAATATTACTTTTCCAATTGTATTTATACTATCCTACCTCACAATCAATGACCTTCAAAGCGCATGGGAAAGAAGATAACAGAACTTCAAGTGAATCTAGAATTTAGCAAGTTGAAGCCCTCGCGATATCCCAACATATCAACATCAGCATTAGTTATTTCTTTTTTTTTTTTTTTTCCTGATATCTGAAAACTGTCCTAACGACATATTTTAATTTGGATTTGTGGTTGGTGAATGTTATTTGAACTTAAAAAATAAATTTGATAATTATAATCATTGAATAAATAATAAATTTTAATAAATATTGAGACTCACAGTGAAATTAATAATTATAATTATCAAATTTATTTTTTAAATCTATGTAACATTGTTCCTTGTGGTTATTAAGCAGACTCAAAGTTTATGCACAATTAATCATCCACAAATTACATGCATAGAGTCAATCGAAAAGTCTTTTACTAGGTTTAAATGTAATATCTCGGGATATTAATTAACGAGTCCAGATTCAGATCAGACCTGAGTCCAGTTCATGGGTTGAGCCTAAACTACCAAAAGACAGATCAAGTTTAGCTCATGACTTCGGTCCAGTCCAACGCTCAAAGTCTAGGAAAAGTCAATGCACGTAGGAGAATAATCATCAGGATAATCATTACTCCAAGATAGTGTCTATCTCTAACTGGAGCTATTCTCACCGATAAACTAATACATTGACTCTCACTTCACTACCTCAATTAGGGCTATGTGCTTATAAATTGTGAGCTCCCTACACATAGGGGCATGAACTCTCACTCGCCTTACTTTTAGCGTACTCTTGCGCTTTGTCTCTCTCCTACTATCTTGTACTCACTTATTAATAGAGTTTTCCAGCCATTGTTGCCGCATTTAGTGGTTAGGTCACTCAGACCCAATCACCCAATTTTTGTCTCTTATTATTAATTGTTTTACAACACACTCGACTGATTTAGTTTACACAAATCAACTTTTGTGTATCATCAATCTACTACAACATTACAATCCGAGCTATTTATGATAGATTGTTGGCAATACTTGGGTTGTATAAATTCTATAGACAACTTATAATCTCAGAAGAAAATTTTCCCAGTTGATATAGCATTTTAATTTTCATGAAGTTTAGATTGCTCCTTACATGCAAGAAAACTTAACTAAGAGGTTTTTTTTAGCAACCTAATTTAATTACTAAAGCCTCTATTGGGGTGTTTTTTCTCATGTCCTTTTTTGTATGTTTCTCTCTTGGTCTTTTCTGGTTTATCTGTCCTTTATTCATTGGCTGTAGATTGATTGTATATTATATGAGTAATGCTGACTTTTAAGACATAAAAATTTGACATAATAATGTATTAAGTGATAGAATTACAATAATATTATTGGATTATGTTAGTGTCATATCATCAGGTCAACAAATTAAGTCACTTTTTAAGATACAAACATAAATTCATACTGTATTGTTGATACATCGATATATTGTCATGTTGATGCGTAGTTGTACACCAAAAAAAAAACAAATAGTATTAATTGTAGTGAACTTTGATCTTACAGTAATTCTAATGGTCTAATTTACGAGCATTGAATGTTTTAAAGAAAAAATAATCGTTTACTGACCCTATATGCTGAGATTCAAGTATTTGAAGGAGACGATGCTTTGCTATAGCAATTAAAATCCATCACATTCTACTGTTTACATGTCACCAACATGGTGAGACATTAGCTAGCAGAGAAAGCAAAGCCATTAACAACCTTGTCAGGACCTCTGTAATTGACCCAGCTCATTAAGGTTGAAAAAGATAAATTCATATTGTGATACACCCAATTGGGCAAATAATTTCATTTTTTCTTCAAATACAGTAGTAGGATGTCATTTCATATTGATTTATTCTCTCATATTTTGTTTTTTTTTCTGAAATTGGTAGAGCATTCATGATGAATTAATTAAACATACTTTTTTTTCTGGACATTGTCATCAATAAGGGTATCCATGAAATGTTATAGAAATGCCACTAGGTGATTGAGTAAATAGCCCAAGGAACAGGTAGCTGAGAGCCAACTACTATAGTTACTAACGTTCATGAGTTCTGGTAGAGACTGTCATTACTAGAAAGTTGGTTTCGGGTTTTGAATCCCATTACATTTCTTTTAACAATCGAAAAAGTCAATATAGATCATCACATAACACGAGCTGTTTCTTCGCAACGAATCAAATATATGAAATAAGGGTGAGTTTTAATGCTAATTGTACAGTTCTTCCACCGTGACAAGGATGCCCATGAGTGCAACTCGTGAATTCTTCGTATGCCATAAATAATACTACATATACCTCTCTCTCTCCACAATATGTAATAACTGGGGTTTTCGTTCATTTTTTAATGCCTCAATAGCCAATGCTAAAAAGGGACCCAACAACCAGACTGATAAAGGAGGACGTATGAGGTATATTAAGAACATGACACTTTTGCTGATAGGTAGTCCTCAATGGGGCCAGAATCTACTAAAAATTTGGTGCCCCATAAGAGCTAGTTAGAGACAGACAAAGACATTATGTCCG